TGTAGCACTTTCGCATCGGTTTTGTGTATTATTAGACATTTAGGATCATTTTAGCATTGGGTTTTGATTCTTCTGCATTATCTGGTGATTGAACAGGTAATAGACGCATTATGGACACCAAAGAAACATAATCGAGGACTTCGGAGCATATCGGACCGGAACAGAACGATAAAGACACTTTCAGCTCGAGTTGCACTTGAACACGGCCATGTCGAGTTCAAACACGGTCGTGCAAAGGCAAGGAAACGAAGAAATTCTTACAGACAATTGACACGGACCGTGTCGACGTCAAACATGGCCGTGTCGATCTGCAACTCGCCCGTGTCCAGCCCTGCAGAAGCGCAGAAGTTTTGGTCAGATAATTGACACGGACCGTTTTGCCATTCAACACGATCGTGTTATGTTTCGAGAAGACTTCCTATTTTTGCATCCGAACTTCCATTTTCGGAATGGAAAGAAGCCTAGCCTCCACAGAAATAAATAGAGGACGTCTTGGGCTTCAGAAATCATCGGGAGATCACAGGAGAAGCCAGAGAACTCGAGAGAGAATCAAGACGGAGTTTCCCGGGAGCAGAGATTGAAGAATCGTCGTCGAGAGATCGGTGCGAGTCTTCTTTATCTGTTTCTATGTTTCTTCTTATTGATTTGAACTCGTTTGTTGTTATGGGTAGTGAGTAGTCGTTTCACTGTAGCTAGGGATTTAACCTTGTAGGGATTTGTTTGGTTTTTATTTTGCGAGACTACGTTATCGATACTCTTCGGTTTAATTGAATTGAGTTTATTGCTTTTGATCTTTGGCTTGTTGATTGATTGATCTTAGATTCTGATTTAAACAAGAGTTGGAATTAGATTCGGAACGAATTCATTGAATAAAATTGATTAAGACTATTGAGAGATAGGTTAATCGGTTTAAAAACTGTGATAGTGATCATTAAGGCGTTTGATATTTTAATCTATTAGGTTGAGAGATCGATAGGTTAAATTATTGGATAGTGGATTTAGGACTTGAGAGAGCCAAATCTGATATTAGGACTTGAGGTCCCCGATTAGAGTTCGATATTCGTAGATTCTCCATCCTTAGAAGCAATCCCTGCGCGTTAAGGTTATCCCGAGGCTACGGCGGTTTAGTTATCTAATTTACTTAGTTTATTTATTGCTCTACTTTCGGTGTTCATCTATTTCATCTGCTATTTGCTGATCTGAATCTTAGTCGAGTCTTGTTCTTAGTGGTAACTATTCCCTGTGTTCGACCGTGGCACTACAGTTGATCCGTATCCTTACGGTATTCGCTGTATCTAGGTTTTTATTACTTGAGCTTATTTCTATACCTAGATTTGCGTGATCAGAGTGAGACTGTAGAAATGTGTGGTCACACTATAGATGAGCGTCGTCTATTTCATACAGTCGAACTCTGTGAACGAGAAAGCAGTCGAATCAGATAAGGTGGCTTTTCCATGCCTTATGTTCAACATATGATATCAGGATACAAAAGAATCATCAACCGGGATCATCAATGACGTTCGTAAGATCATGAACAAACTCTATTCGAGCTAGGTAGTCATAGTGTCATGTTAGAGACCGCCTATGACTTGTATATCCGAGATTGAGATTTCGGATTATACTGCTATCTCAAATGAGCCTACAGGATCATACACGCACGGAAGGACAAATGCACAAGAAAACGACGAGAAACCAGGACACGAGGCCCGGACCGGACGGTCCATGTAGCTGGACCGACCGATCCAGAAGATCCAGACCGAACGGTCCAGATTATGGTACTCTGTCGGACCAAAATGTCTGGAACGGACGGTCCACGTAGCTAGCCCGTCTGTTCCAGATGTCGGGTTTTTCAAAAATAATCTCGAAATTAGGGTTAAATACTTTATAAAGGAGATTAAGAACCCTAA